AAAAAAAAAGTCTTAAAAAAAAAAGGCCACAACAGCTGATCCTCAGCTAAAAATCTGAGGATTTATTGTATGTGTAACTGCCATTTTTCTTCAAATTAAGCTAGCAGTGCAAAAAAGTTGCAGGACTCTAGATGATAGCCTCTGTCTGATTAGCAGCTACAGGGTAGACCACAGAGGAAATGTTTACCAAACCCACAGAGTTCTCCCTTTCTCTCTTATCTACACTCTGTCCCTGCAGAGTGTAGCCTTCTACTTTTATGCCTTCCTCTACTGGCATGTGATTCAATGCCCTTCGAGGAGGTGGCGCTGTCCAACATCACGCTCACTGGAGTCATTGCTGTAAATCAGCGAGCAAAACCATAACTCGACACACACAACTACGACCAGCTGTGCTGCCAACTATTGCAACAACCAAACCACATGCATGGTTTCAGGTACAGTTTATCTCAGTCTTGACTAATGACAGGACTGCTGTGCGTCCCGTTGTCTCCGTGTCTGCAATGGTGCAGACACGGAGAGAGACACCGAGAGTGAACTGACAACTTCTATGATTATAACCAGGGGTGCACATAAGTGGTCCGCAGGTGCGCATTCGCTGTCAAAATAAAAGACGTGCACCAGATAAGAAGTTGCAACGCGCGTTTGCGTACATATAAAAGGCAGTGTTTTTCGCTAGAGTGGTATTTTCACGGCATATTCTGCACCAAATCTCTGTGCGTTCATCATTTGTTTGAAGCCAGCTCACCTCCTGCAACCACTTTCCAAGAATACGTGCTTCTTTTGCGGTTCGGACTCCTTCTGACATTTCTTTGGAGGTGGAGGAACACCAAAGTAATTGCTTAAAGGAGCTTGTTTCTTCGACATCTTTAAGAGTTCTAAACAAATGTCTGTCCTCCTCCAGAAAATCTTATGTACGCAAACACGCGTTGCAACTTCTTATCTGGTGCACGTCTTTTATTTTGACAGCGAATGCGCACCTGCGGACCACTTATGTGCAGCCCTGGTTATAACCAGCTGCAATTGACTGCACAGTTTATAACATATCATAGGTCAGTTTTTACATGAAATAGAATAGCATTTATTATAATACAAAATTTTTAAAAATCCTAACTATCATTGTGATTAGGTTGTCCAAAGCTTTTTAACATCCATGTGTTTTTACTATTTTTTTAACCTGAATTTATGTTAGTGAAAAAAAACAACTAATTTTATATTTTCTATATGAATAAACAGATGTATGATATTCTGAATAGATCACTATCACCTAAAAATAATCCCAACCCTAACCTTAAACTTGAATTTTAACTGTCAAACAGCTCTTAAGAAAAGCACCACATGGTGCAGGCGGATGCTCATTGGGTTTCTGTTTACCTGGTTGAATGAGCCGTAACAACCCCTCATGTTCAGCCACTTTGTGCTTCCAGGTCTTGGTGTTGTTGGTCGCAGTTTCCAGCTTCTTCTTTACCGTCTGGCTCACACAATGAGAAACAGAAAACGCAACACATGTATGAGGTTTAATAGATGCAAAAATGGCACCTATCAGCATACTGATTCACAAGTGGTTAGTATTAAATTTCTTGTCTAAAGAAATCTTGTCTAAATGGCTAAGCCTGAACAGGTGTCCCTGAGGCTTCCACAAAGTATTTGATTAAATGTGAATTCCTTTGGGAATGACAGACTAATCACATGATGAGTCTGCATATTTGCATGGAAAGCTGGTGTGCAAATAGTACAGTCACTGCTAGCAAGGTGGATGCTGCATGTTCTGCCTCCAGCATGCAGGTGGCTCCCACCTCTAAACCACATGTAGCAGCTTCTGTAGTTTGAGTGGAGCAGACTGTCTCCTGCTGTGTGCTACATATGAGGAAGGACAACTGAAAGCAGCTTTGAGGACATATGTTAGGTGCAAACCTCAAAGACTGCTCAGTAACTGCTTTGAACTACAGCAAGAGGCACAATTTAGTCATAAAATGGCAACATTCATAGAAATGATGATAAGTTGAGTTTTTCCCTTTTTATTGTTTTAATGATTTATTTGTGGGTAACAGCTCCATTCCACAGAGGAGTTTTCACACTAGTCCTATTGCATCCATATTCATACCCCCCATCACTGACCTCATACTGCTCCAGCGCCCCCTGCCTCTCCAGCTCCAGCTGCTCCAGCTGCTTCATTGCAGCTTGCAGGGCGCTCTCCTTGGCCAGACGCTCCTTCTCCAGCTCCTCTTTCTCAGCCACCGTGACGGAGATGGCCTGCTTCTGCTGCAAATGGATCTGCTCCAACTCTGCTCTCTTCTTGGCCTCCTCCTCCAGTAATCTGGTCCACAGTACATATATCATTTACTACAGGCAGGCTTCAGCATGAGCCCTACCCCCAGGAGGGTCAGATCACTGCATAAACAAAGCATGTGGACCGTACATGCGTTTTCCACAGATTTGACACTTCTTGAGAAAAATATTAGACCCTGTGTAGTTACTATTATCAACAGTGTGTGCACTGTATACTGTACACACACACACACACACACGAAAAAGTGCTTGCCCCCTTCCTAAGTTTCTAGTTTTTGTATGTTTGTCACACATTAATGTTTCAGATCATCAAAAAATGTAAATATATGTCAAAGAATAACACAAGTAAACACAAAAGGCAGTTTCTAAATGACGGTGCTTACTCTTAGGAGGAAAAAGAATCCAAACCTACATGGCCCTGTGTGGAAAAAGTGATTTATTATCCACAAATGGTAAAAACATGGAACAGTGGTGAACCTTCCCAGTAGTGCCCAGCTGACCAAAATTACCTCAAGAGCACAGCGACGACTCATCCAAGAGGTCACAAACAACCCCAAAACAACATCCAAAGAACTGCAGGCCTCACTTGCCTCAGTTAAGGTCAGTGTTCATGACTCCACCTTAAGAAAGAGACTGGGCAAACGTGGCCTGCATGGGAGTTTCAAGACAAAAAAAAACACTGCTGAGCAAAACGAACAAAGGCTCGTCTC